GTGTGCAGCAGTTTTTTTTTTGAAAAGACCATCCAAAGGCTCACCATGTATTTCCCTCTAAAATATCTCACAAAAAGAGCATACATGCAATTGTGGTTTGCACGAGATTCTTGTCACATTGAACCCGATAGGAGCATGCATCATCATCATCTAAAGCTCAAACCCAGATGGTGAACTGTTATACATTAGGCCACAAGATGGCCAAGGACTGAAAATTTTAGAAGAATATCTATTGCTTTTGTGTATGCACAGACTATATCCAGGTTAAAATTGGTGACACCATTCAGTGTTGTAATTTTATTTTCCATCACTGTATGTTTCTATATATTCAAAGATCAATGTCTTGTGAGATAAGTTCACTAACCATTCAATTACAAGAGGTGTTGATATACAGATAGAAAGGCATAATGAAACAACTGTCATCTAAACCTTTTAATATTCCTGATAGAATTTGACAAAGCTAAAATCTGCAATTTAAAATTTACATCTACAAGACAGTGATAGTAAACTATGTTGAAGCCATAGAATAGTTATCTTATACTTTTTTTTTTACTTATTATTTTCTTTTACGCATGAAAAATATGGTTGCCATGGTAAGATATTAAATTATTGGCTTCTGATTTACTCTCCTCACTAAAAAGCAAGTTATAAATACTTGAAATCATCTCAAGTAGATATTATCTGGTTTTGCTGACAGAATAGCAATGCACAACAGTTCAAGACTAGGCTACCAACATATGAACAAGAGAAAGAGGGCTAACATTCAATATTTTGTCATGCTACTGCCAAAATGTAGTCTTTTCTATTATCTCCTCTTTTCTTTGTTCGTTCCTAAACTGATATTCTCTCTCAAGTCACTTCTACTTATCTCTGCTTTTTTTTCTATTTATTTTGTCTTCTACTGCACATCATTTCATTTTAGTTTAAATAGTTATTAAAGCAAATCATTTTCAGCACTATTTGTGGATGTTTACTCAAAACAAGTCTGTCAGGTGGGGGCATGTGCAAGAATGCAAGACAATACACTTTTGTTTTTCTTTCCCACTCTCAAAGTCTTGTTGATTTCCATATTAATTCTTGTGCTGCCTTTCATAAAGGATATATGAAGAAATAAAAGAGAAAGAAGTTTTTATCTGTAGGTGGGTCGCTGGTGTAACATGTTAAAAACAAATTTTTTTAAAATCTTCAGGTACTTGAAGCTGATTAGTCTGGTTCTCTCTCTCTCTCAAATATATATATATATATATATATATATATATATATATAGTCTGGTTCGTTCTCTCTTTCTGTTTTTATATATATATATATATATATATAGTCTGGTTCTTCTCTCTTTCTGTTTTTATATATATATATATATATATATATAGTCTAGTTCATTCTCTCTTTCTGATATATATATATATATATATATATATATATATTCTGGTTCGTTCTCTCTTTCTGTTTTTATATATATATATATATATATATATATATATATATATATAGTCTGGTTATTCTCTCTGATAAATATATATATATATATATATATATATAGTCTGGTTCATTCTCTCTTTCTGATATATATATATATATATATATATAGTCTATTTATCTCTCTTTCTGATATATATATATATATATATAGTCTGGTTAATTCTCTCTTTCTGTTATATATATATATATATATATATATATATAGTCTGGTTAGATTATATATATATATATATATATATATATATATATATCTGTTATATATATATATATATATATATATATATATATATATATAGTCTGGTTAGTTATATATATATATATATATATATATATATATATAGTCTGGTTAGATTATATATATATATATATATATATAGTCTGGTTCATATATATATATATATATATATATAGTCTAGTTCGTTATATATATATATATATATATATATATATAGTTAGTTCATATATATATATATATATATATATATAGTCTATTAGTATATATATATATATATAGTCTGGTTAGTTATATATATATATATAGTCTATTATATATATATATATATATATATATATAGTCTATAAGTATATATATATATATATATAGTCTATATGATATATATATATATATATATAGTCTGGTTAGTTATATATATATAGTCTAGTTGGTTTATATATATATATATATAGTCTGGTTCGTTATATATATATATATATAGTCTGGTTAGTTATATATATATATATATATATATATATAGTCTGGTTAGTTCTCTCTTTCTGTTTTTTTATATATATATATATATATATATATATAGTCTAGTTTCGTTCTCTCTTTCTGATTATATATATATATATATATATATATATATATATATATATATATATAGTCTGGTTCAGATTATATATATATATATATAGTCTGGTTTGTTCTCTCTTTCTGATATATATATATATATATATAAAAAAAAAAAACACACACACACAAGTATAGGATTTGTGTATATGGAATAAATTCCAATAGCCAAAAAATACTATTCTTAAAAAAAAAGTGTTCAATACAGAGTAGAGCAAATATAATTATTTATTCGAAAATTATAACATAAATATGTTATAAAAATCACTACAAAAATATTCATTTTGTTTCAAGACTTCTGGTGTCTTATCAAGTGAATGTAGAATAAGGGTTTCCATATTAACCCCTGAATATATATATATATATATATATATATATATATATATATATATATATATATATTAATGTTAGATGGGAGAGTCCATCATACATAAAATAGGGAGTTACTTTTTATTTAGCCTGTATATAAAACTCTTGGCCTTGTTAGAACAAGTAATGGCATGAATTAAGTGATAAATATGGAGAACTTTCCTGCCTCACCTGATTATCATTTGATATGCAGCATATCCAACATAAAAAGACAATGGCATTCAACAAAACCACTGGCAGACTTTCTTGCATCAAAAAGATCTTTTTTCTAATGTGTCATTCAAATAAACTGCTCATGAGATTTATTCAGGTATCCAATAACGCTATTCAAGGGAAAACAGGAGATTCAGTTCAGGTTGAGATGTTGAACTACCTTGTCTAAAACTTACCTTTATGTCAAAGAAGATAAATACTTAAATGTTTCTGAATTTTTTTCTAAGACTTGTAAATGACAATTCAATTGACTGATTACTGGGGTCTTTATTATATCAAAAACTTTCCAGACATTGTACAAAAGATACAGGTTCTTGCTTGGCTTTAAGTCAGTTTTTATTTTAAAATTTTGTCACCGAGATCAAACTCAAAACATATCATCTTAATGTGGAGATTTTGCAAGGGAGGGTTACATGAAAGTTAATCTTGGAAGTATAAACTTA